ACAAGAGGCCCTCTGATCCATCCAGTACTTGGAGGGGGGCAACACCCAATGTTTATACAAAATTGGTTCCCCCAAGGATGCTCCACACCAAATATGGACCAAATCCTTTCATTCCTACGGAAGAAGAATGATTTTAAAGAATTTGCTATATTTCCCCAATTGGGCCCCGCCCCTCAGCCCCCAGGAGGGCCAGACCCACCATTTATAGAAAATTGAGTCCCCTTGGCCCAAAGATGCTCCAGATTAAATTAGGATAAAATCCCTCAATTACTACGGTAGAAGAAGGATTTTAAAGGTTTTACCTCTATTTCCCCTATTGGGCCCCGCCCCTCTGCCCCCAGGGGGGCCACACCCATGTTCATAAAATCAAAAAAAGTAAAATCTACTCGGCCGATCAGGACTAGAAGCGTTTTAAAGGAAAAATTGACGGACGATGCGGTATGGCATTAGCTCACCATGGTCCTTCAGACCAGGTGAGCTAAAAAGTCATATGCTTCATGTATGATAGAATCAACCAGAACAAATAATCTACACAAATACAGATGTTACGTCTTGAATGAGTAACATGTCATTTAGCATATATATACGTATTCCAATTTTCCCTTTCTCAGTAACCAGCACACAAATTAACATAAACGCATACAAACTTCTTGAACTTTCTCTTTCTTGATAGTAACACCAGTGCTTCCTGACCCTCAACATAGGCTGTTCACACCTATCGGTGTTAAAGAGTTTGTTCCGAATATCATGACTTCCTTGATGGATCCCAACTGCTGACGGACAAACTTACAACAGAGGGTAAAAATAATTGCATGTTGAAGACTATGGTCGCCATCATAATCTCAATAGAGAAATAGCCCATGTTTCCTATGGCCCTGATACCAGACTTAGACGTTTTAACAGTGGCATGTGTGGACTCTACCTGTGAAAATGACAAAGTTTGGTGTCAAGACCAATGGAAACTAATTCGGAAATATGCAACTTCTTTGTGTGTCGGGAGGCACGGTAGTCTAGTGGTACAATATATAGGACGCCCGGCTCTTGACCGAAGGGTTGCAGGTTCGAGTCAAGGCACAGCACTGTGTTGTATCTCTGAGCAAGATTTTTTACTCTGATTGTTCCAGTCTACTTTGCTGTAAATGAGTACGTGGTAGGGCAGACTGCTAGAGTTGTTGAATGCTAGCTGTGAGCGCCGAAATGGCAGCACTGCCCGGTGTATGCTCCCCCAGTGAGTTGAGAAAGATATTGACTGGTCGCAAAAGGCCCTATAAACACGGATAATAATTTGTGAACCGCTATGAGACTACCTACGAACTAGGGTGTGATAAAGCGGTATATGAGAACCTTGAGTTATAATTATTAATATTATAAAGAGGGTCGATATTAACTCTTGTGATAATGTTCATTACTTTTCTTTACTATTGTGTTGCCACTGCCCCTGTTCTTGCTTTGGAGACGTAACATTACTTAGATGAGACCTAGATTTACATGGCATATGCCATTGGTGAAACAGAAGACGTTTACCCTTCCAACAGACTGCATATAAATATTTCAATTGGTCATATTTTGCCTTAGTTTTATCACTTTTTAGTTACAATAACAGTTTTAATGACACTCCGGTACTTTCTTGTTGTTTGATTTATTTATTTTAACCTGTAGCAAGTTTTTTTCAATCCCGTTGGAGGTGGTGTCGACCACAGGGACCTGATAATTTGTGTGTTTTAACGTCGACTTAAAATCAGTTAATAAATTAATTACGACAGAATAAAAGATCTTATTTTAGTGCTTATTGTAAAAAAAATCAGATACGGAATTAATGACTCTTATCTCCAAGACAGTATGCCAAGTTAAAGAAAGATTTGAAAACAGAAGGAAGTCTCCCAAAGCTGCCGGTGTTCTTCAGAAAATATGGACGATTTTTCTCCTTGGCACTGAAGGGTAAATTGTTCAACACAGCATATACTATTTGCACTAAAACATAGCAAGTGTTTTATACTATACCGAATTCACTCACGTGACAAATATTGTCGTAGACGTACGAATAGTCACGTGGCCGACGTACTTAGCTCACCGGCTGTGTCAGACAGTTATAACAACAATGGAATTTGTTCATTCCGTTTTAAATCATGTGAAAAAAAAGTTGTTGACATCTGTGTGTTTGTATTTGAAGTAAATAAATCAGATCACGTTAATGTTTCCAATATTGCCTACTTATAAAACAAAATTATTTCAGTGCTTCCTCTGCTTGTTTTTCAAATGTTATTATGTGACAAGAATGTTGGTTGATTTGAAAATGTCAAAATGAGATCAAAGGATACCTGAAAAATAAAGATCTTTACCTGTTCAGAGATAATAGGAAGCTAGAGGAAGATACAAATACCTACATGTACAGATACATCAAACACTGTAGTAAAATGTAACATGTTTCTTTTCATGACTGCAAATTTAACCATTTGTATAAGTTTACCAATTACCTTAAGTATGGAGCCAATATTTCTGACGTTTTATATATATGCGTGGCTGAATAGTTATACTTCAGTGTTTTTCGTCTAAAATTTAATATAACGGAATTCATTTTCTAGATCCTCTATAAAAGTTCACCTAAATATACAATATATGATATTTTCTTTATCTCTCTCTCTTTCCTTCATTCTTTCTTACTTTTGAAATAATCGACTTCCAAAAAGTAATTGAAGTTCGGTTATATCAAAACTTGAAATGATGTCTAATATACAAACTGACACATGAAGTCACATCTTTGGTAGATATATATATCGATGTATGTAGCATCAAAATGGCATCCGGAATATCCAAATATATTTCTATTATCATATGTTTACTAATTAAGTCTAAAATTTCAACAAGTCGATATCAGCCCGGGTGATATCACACCCCCTAGTGGCGAGGAGATTTTGGAGGAATTTGCAGCAAGGATTGTTGAATTAGACGAAATAGTTGACAACGATGAAATGGAAAAGGAGACGAAAGTGTTATGAATGCAGGGGAACAATTCAATAATGCTAATGATACTGAAGCTTTCGTGGAAAGCATGAGAAACAAGAACACTGCGAGAAAAACACAATCGGACATCAAAATATTCACGGATTATCTGTTGTCTCACGTGCTTTTTACGTATAATTGTTACTGTTTTGTTTATATACATCATTATTTTTGTTAACATTCTTATGAATATCAGTAAACAAAATAAAGAAATATTGTTGTGTGTGTATGTTTTGTTTCTTTTTTTAGTTAAAGGAAAAAAACATGATAAATAGTTTATGATATGACCATTTTGATATCACACCCCCTATCAGGACTCTCGGGCTGATAAGGGGTTTGATATCAAAATGGTCATATGATAATCTCTAATGATAGCCAATATGTTCAGTTGGTGTAACGACATCGATAACTTGTCGCTAGTGCCACGTTTTACTCTGACAGTTCTAGTTTCGGGTGCCATGATCAGATTAAGATCTAGACGTGTCAGTGAGATGAGTATTCCCTAACACATTATATAATTTCTATAGGCAATAAATGCTCTATATCGGCCATGTCATATCTTTTCTCAGTATAGAAAAAAAAACATTTTAATTACAATTTATAAGTCACGTGATTAAGTAAAAATGGTCGGGTGAAGCAGTGGACAAATATAAATATCTTTTAAATATGTGTTTCTAATTTTATTATTATCATTTTGATGCGTGACTGTCGCCAGGCGTTCCAATGTTTCAAACGGCACATGCAAACTTTATACGCTCATATATTGGTGACAAAACGGTTTTTGTTTAATAACTGAATTGGGTCGATCGTCGGCGACCAGGTAGCTCAATTGGAAGAGCGTCCATCTATAGAGTAGGATTGTCCCAGGTTCGAACTCCGATCTGGCTGTGCATTCAAGTTTCTCCGCTCCATTTACATTTGGTGCCTGTGAATGAACAACCATTGTTTCTAGTACTAGGCGTATGTTTTACAAGGGAATGCCCAATCCGAGGTTGCACATAGTGTTGTCTTCTGAGACGTAGACTTAGAAAAAGGAGAAACTGGCCACTGGACGGTGGTTTTTCTTCGGGTTCTCCGGTTTTCCTCCACAGCCAAATCCTGCCACGTCCTTAAATGGCCAAAGAAGTAGAGAGAGAAGAAACAAACCAAACCAGCGGCGATGATTTAGACAATCATTTTGCTATTGTGCAGCGAAATAACGAAATGGCACATATCTCAGTCACCACTAAAAACAGATAATGAAATCTCTAAAATATAATTTGGAACGCCGGGAAATGTTATTTAAGATATTTTATTCCAACACACATTGTATCACTGGTCAATATTGTTCCTTTTGCACCTGACCATGACAACAAATAAGTACGACACAAATATCGATGAGATGAAATGCCTCGATGACGTCATTCATACGACCTTTAAATTCCATGAAGGGCGCTATTCTCGACATTCCTTTCGGACCACGGCAAAAGATCTGCAGTATCAGAAGATTAAAAGATATTAAAGAAATATTGATTACAAGGAGAACGTTACAATTATATATGACAAAGAAATACACGTTTGTACACTGCATCGTTTACCAGAGAACTCAAAGGAGAAATGTTATGATATTTACCCAATATGTGTTCATATGCTTATTTTTTTTATCTAATTAGGTCGGCTTTTTGTTACCATATTCCATGGGTGTAGAAAAAGTAAGTGAGCGCGCGCGTAACCCCTGGAGTATCTCATCCTTACGCTCACTTTCGCTTTCTACAACCCCGAAAATAGCAAAATTGAAGGCACGCGTCTAGCTATTTGATAGGTTTCAGGAAGACCATAATGGACTCATTTAGATAAATGCATGGGGGAGTCTACTAAAGTTGGAGAGGTTGAAATGGTTAACAAAGTGATCTTCGCAACACTTTTCCACTATTTCCCGCCAAAATACTACCTGCATTACCTCCATCCCGTTGTCAGGAGAGTTCCAATACAATAGGAACTCTCCTGTTAATGAAGTTTGTATTTTTATAAACTGAGTTTGCGAAATAACCGGAAAAGATAGTGTAACAGATTGTTTTTGCTTCGACGGGAAAAAAATATGAATGGGTGAGTTTCAGACGATAGTGTAATTTTAAAATACAGTTTGTTTAAAGAATGAATGAGTATTATCTTAGTCTTGGAGAGGTTTCTGCGTCTTTATTAGACCGAGGTTGTTTATCATCTGTCACGGCTGATCAGACAGTCAGAGTGGAAATTTACAGGAGTCTGACGTTTAATCGTTTATATCTACACTTATGTATAACAATCTGTATACAAACAAATACCCCTTATACTGACGTTTTATCAATATTACTATAACAGTCTGTATATAAGAAATGTCCCTTTTACTAATGGGTACTTTTCTTTATAATACAAATTGTTATACATGAGTGTAGTTACAATGTTGATAAAACGTCAGACTCCTTAGTGTGGGAAATCTATAATATCAACAACAGATATAGCCCGAGTGTCAAAGTGTGGTGTTAGGGCTAGAGGAAACTCAGGCTGCAACAGACATATAATAGATAGATATAGATGTCTGGTGTATACAATTAAAAAGTAGAATACAGTATACAATTGTATATCTGTCATAATGTCTGAGTGTGGTGTCAGGGCTACTTGAACAATTGTACTGTACAGTTAAGCTAATTTCATCCAAATACCCGGAAACATATATTCACTTATTAATTGACTGTATAATACGTATATATATGTTAACGCAGATTAATGCAAAGTAGTTGAGGTGAATCAAGAGTCCTGCTGTACTGTAACTACCGCACCTGTACTGTAACTACCGCACCTGTATTGTAACTACCGCACCTGTTTTATAGCTAGTTCAGTTAAAAAATTCCTGGAAAGTACAGGTGTGAAATACTGGGGACTGGCGCAGTGCTAATGTCAGCTTGCAGTCATCAAGAGGCCAAAAGTTAGAACTAATAATATCGAGCCTCCTCTGCCCCGGCCACACAATATGTACAAAAAAAACTTGTTGTCAGAAGCTACGTTAATTATCGCAGTCAATTAGGGTAGATTAAAATTTGGCCAGTAATTTAATATCTCTGTGAACCAATTGCAAATAGACATTTGTATGGGCCTAATCAAAAGTAGGTAGTTCTCAAAAGTTGCACGCAATATTAAACCTTTATCATTGTGAAAGTATGACTATTCTTTTTACATACGAGGCTGCTAGCCCTGGTCGGCTACTTTTTATCGGATATGATTATGCTTACTGTACCTGTGACACTTGTCAAAAGTATCTCGTCATTTTTAACATCTAACATAGTTGGAGTTAGTCATGAGCAAGATATCAACAAGGTATGTAATTATTACTTTGATCACATGTTAAAATTTCATCATGCCCTTTTAGAACATACAACCAAGATATGGTTTTCTGTCTTGGAATAAGACCAAAGAAAGGTCAAATAAAGTGAGTGAGGCCCTAAGAGACTGAAGGCTCAAAATGTTAGGTATCCTAAAACAACATTACCAACATCTTAAGTTTCAAATACTGAATGGCTTCGACCGCTACGTTATATAGTAAATAGTCATCAGAAGAAAATACAGTGGATCTAGAGCAGGTTGAAATCAATCATGGGCACTTTAAATTTCTGTAATTAAGCAAACCGAAGCTTGGCTGTACCTGGAATAAAACCTCCATATAAAGTTAAAGAGGCACCGACATCAAACTGTTTTTAATTGAACTTAAACAACCATTGGCATAATGTATTTTTTTTCAATTTAAACAAGTTTTAACTTGAAATGAGAGGAAAGTTTTGTTGCAAGTCAAGTTAACATTAATGTAGCTATAGCTACCATCTGTAAATGTTAAGCCAAAAGTAACAAAATAATTTTGTGGCAGGGCAGCAGACTGATGTCCTCCCCCGAAAGATTTTTACGAAGATTTTTGAAAGGTTACTCACTTCTTCATCATCAAACATATATTGGATAAGATGAACCATCAATAATGCTTGAGATGTGGGAAGGTCATAAGTTGTCATGAGTTGTAATTGATAATTATAACTGCTACTCCGTGTGAAGCAGGGGCCCTGGTGCACAATTTCAAATTTAGAGTACCTGGTAAAAGCCTGCAGGAAGCTTTTGGAAAATTTGAAGTCTATAAAAAACTCATTAAAATCCTCCACTCAATCATCAAGAAGTTTACCTTTTAAGCAGAAATTTGAATCGTGATACGTATTGTATCGTAAGCATCGTACCGCGATATGTATCGTATTGTGAGGTATGGGTATCGTTGCAGCCATATACCACATAGATATTTTCTTGGTGCTTTATATGTGACAGGTTGTGCAAAGACACCTCTGATTCTGTTAGTTGTGGTTGCATAATACAGTATACAAAATTAACCATCAATTCATACCAAAATACTTGTTTTCTGAACATTCATGCTTCAATTGAACCTTTGCTATCTGTGAGAAGTCTGGAAATTCAGGACCCTTATATAGATCTACTGTAATAAAGTTACACCTCAACTCAACAGGCGAGGGACATCTTCAATTCTCAAAGCCTCAAATAATAATTGCCTTAATATGAACTGTAGATAACACAGTATGTAAACTGCACTTAATTATGTAGAATGCATATGTGTGATGGCGGTACTTTTTTTTGCTCATGACATATATCTAAAAGATTTTCCTTGTAGTAAGTATGGAAAAAATCCAAATTTGCCCTGTACACAGAATTTGTTCTGTAATCGTTCTGTAAGTTTAATATTTTTTATGATTACAGAATCCGGCCGGAATTGGAGAATGTTGTTTTCTTGACACTAGCTTGCATAGCTTTTGCTGTTCTTGGTGAGTTATATAATTAACTACTAGTGTGCATTTATTTGCCAACAAGTAGATTTTTCTGAATGATAAACATAAACTGTGAAGTAATATAAGCTCAGTCATGATTTCTTCAACATCTTGGTCAGGCCAAGCCAAAATAAAATGTGTTTTAGGTAAAATATGTCAGAAAAATATGGTGTATGTCTGTATAGACAAGTTACCATATAATGATGGTCAGCTTTAACCAATCAAGTTTAAAGAAGAATTATAATTTCCCTCTACTAACGATGCACTTCAATACAAAATGATGAATTGGAGTGCATCTATAGTGGAGCAAAATTAATAATTACACTGACTTTTTACCTGGCCAAGAATTACCAGGTATACAACTCGGAAATGAAATGTTCTGGGTTTAGCAGGAAAATTTAGGGTAGGCAGTGATAAATCTTCATGCCAGTCGCGGGCCCTGTACTCATAGAATTTTTATGGGACTCACAGAATTTCTGGAAATAGTTAAGTTTAACATTGTTTTTAGCAATACAGTTGAAAAGATCTCATTAAAATAAATTGTAGATGGATCACTGGTAGGTCGCAATGGGGTATCTAAACTGCACATACTTTTTGTTGGCCTCATATATACTAATATGTTTGCTGTTAGTCTCTCTGTGGATGTTATAACTATTTAAGTGTTTCAAATATATTTTGTTTTATTATTTCTTGACCAACCGTACTCTGTATAAGAGGATAGAAATTACTTTATCATATAGCCCCATGGTAAAATTTAAAAACAAATCCTTTATATAATTTCTTAAATAAGTCTCTCTTATTTCATCATAGCTAGCCAAACAACATTTAACACAGCCTCAGGGGCTATAGAACATTTATCACATACCTGTTGAATCTTGTTATAGTAATACAAGCAATTTTGAGACCATGATTTACCTACTAGCCGGAACTACTTTTTATGGGAATACCCTTGTCATGGTGAACTGAAAAGTTCCCGGTATTTGCAAAAAATATCGAAGTTTATAAAATCTTTGTATCGATCTCTACCAAATACGGAAGGTGTTTGATAAAAGCAAGACCACACACTTGTGTTTTTCTAACGAATCAGAAAGCACTCATTTATTGTGCGGACGTATATATTCACACGTGCCCTCTGCGCACTCGTGAATATATGCACAATAAACTTGTGCTTTCTGATTCGTTAAAAAAACACAAGTGACTAAAGAAAGTGCCTCCCTGCACATGGCTTCAATATTGCACTCATTTCTAATAATTTAGTATACAATATGTGTTTTTATGTTTATATTGTGTTAATTAAGGGTAAAGGTAAGAGTTATCGACAGCTACCAGAAGATCAAGCAACCTAAATGAATGAAATTTTCTGGTTTAGAGTTACTTCCCTTGGTAAAGGGAAACATCTTTCATTTTGATACTGTTTATTATTGATTCCTGGAAAGAGAATTGTGGGTAAAATGTATGATTGATAGTGGATAGGTCTGAGTTCAGCCCCTGTTTTTTTTCAGGGGGGGGGGGGATTATTTTTTTTTAATTATTTTTTTCAAAAGTACATGTATACTCCAACTACAAACAAATTAAATATACTTCATCTTAATTGTATCTTTTACCTTAACACAAATCTTAACAAGCAAAATGTATTTAGTATTGCTTTGAATTAATAATCAGTTTTCAGGTAAACATTGCAATTCAATTTCATAAATACAAAATATTTCTACAGTAAAATTTGTGTCTTAACCTGTTGAATTATTTAATTATTTATTTTTTTATTTTTTTAGGATTTTACAGACCTTTATCATGTGGATCGAACTTCACGGTGTTCAGAACTACATAATATTATTTTGTTTTTGCAGGCAAAAGTCAAGAGTTGTATTACTGTGATAATGGAAATGTTTTGAACATAGCTGGTGAGACAAGTGGTACCATCATAACTCGTCAGCTCGGAGAGCCTCACTACAGTGACAATCTTCACTGTGGATGGAAGTTAGACGCAGGTTTGGGCAAACGGATCAAATTGACGGTAAAAAACGTGGACCTCCAGTGGGCCGCCTCCTATGCATTGTGCAGTGGATATGACCATCTCTCTGTCAGAAACGGTCAGTACGATTTACAAAATGACGCAATTCTATTTTTATTTTTATTTTTTTTTTTATTTATTTTTTTTAGGTTCAAATTGTTTTATTCCCCCAGCAATTTAGGGAGGGATGCCAGGGTTGGGGTGCCCCGGAATCATCCCTCTTACAATTACTCAATTCTATCCAGCAATAAGCCCATGACCAGTAATAAGCTCACTTATGCTAACAGAGGTTATTTCATTGTCCTTAAGTAAGCCCTCCCGCTGCCTCCTAGTTTGAGTCAGAGAATATGTGTTGAAAAAATCTAACATTTTCTATAATAAATGATATACATGTAGTACATTTTTTCCCTTATATTTCATTAAAGTAATGAAGATTACATTTTCAATAACCAAAACTGCACACATACCTTTGTTTGTAATTAAATCATTTACGATGCATGCAGTACTATTAGTGTCAAGGTCATATTTTTCTTTTTTTGTGTGTGATTCAAGGTCAAACAGCTACCTCTGAAGTGTTACTGGACATCTGTGATAGTACGAACCCCTACCAGTTGGTCAGCAGTGGTCAATACCTCTACCTTTACTTCATATCCAACGATAAAAATTTCTATGATCATGCTGGCATAACTCTTATGTTTCAGACATACGGTGAGTATATATAGAACCCTAAACACTTAACACAGAAAAGTATCATTTAGCTATGTGTACATTTTACATGCTTAATAAGCAACAATAATAAACAAAAATCCTTCAGAAATTTGTTGTACAGTATGAAACATCAGAAACTTTGTTTGAACAATTATGTTGTATTTTCTTTGTATCAATTAAAGATTTCATTTGTTTTTTAGGTGAAATAATAAAAGACTAAATAAAACCAATTTCAGTTATGCAATTGTTTATACCCTTTTTTTTTAAATTTTTTTTTTTTTTTTTTTTTAATTTTNTTTTTAATTTATCAACTTGCTTTAAGTGCAAGAAAATTTGCCCCATTCAAGATTGTAAAACTGGACCTGTGATTTTTTATTCTCATAAAACTCCTCTCAGAGGTGGAAAAATGAATGGTTTTCTGTGGGAAATTTGCCCAATTTGAACCCTTTTTAGTGTCTTTCAAACTTTTCCTATTCAGTACATTTCAAGCTTTGTTAAATGTAGTAAGATGTACCCATATAGTTATAGATATATGGTGGTTGAATTGAGTAGTGGAAAAAACAGTTGCCTTCACCAAAGTTTGCTCTGGTTTGATCCCGTTTCCTTCCATACTAAGACATTCTTCAATACAAAGAGAATTAATGCAGCATAACTTTTCAACCAAATTTTTCATGAAGTATAATATTGTACTACAAATTTCTGAATGATGTTTGTTTGCGTGCTAACATCTGGATCAACAAGAGCGATTGATATAAGCTGCATTAATGACTTGTTTCATAACTGTTGTTGAAGAAATTAATTTTATTTCATATTATAAGCAAAACTTTCCGTCAACCCCTGTATGTCTCTCACCACCAATAGGCGCATAAGGCCTCCACGCTTCTTTTCCACCCCAATCTGTCTTTCGCTGCGGTGTTCCAGCTACTCCATCCGAAATGGTTGCGCTCTTTTTCAACCGTTCTTCGCCAGGTTGTTTTTGGTCTCCCACTTGCTCTTTTTCCCATCTGGTTCCCATCACAAAGCTGTTGTACAGTCATTTGTTCCTTCTCTCCTCAAGATGTGACCAATCCAGTTCCACCTTCTTCTCCTTATTTCACAGCTGATGTCATTTATGTTGGCTAGCTCTTTAATTTCAGCTTTTAGTGTTCTTTGCTGCCATCTTACTCTCAACATCCTTCTGAGACACTGGTATTGGAAGGTGGTCAGTTTCTTTTCTTCTGCTTTTGTAATTTTCCAGGTCTCACAGCCATACAGTAATACAGGTCTAACCAGTGGCTTGAACAGATGGTTCTTTGTCTTTCTGCCAAGAGCTTGGTGTGCTCCCCAGATATTTCGGAGTTGGTGAAATGCTCCTCTTGCCTTCTGTAGCCTGTTCTTGATATCACTACTTCCTCCTTCTTCTCTGTCCATTACAGAACCAAGATATACAAATTTGTCCACATCTTCTATTATCTTGTTGTTTAAGAGGATATTCTCATTCTTTCTTGCTTGTTCGCTCCTAATAAGTGTCTTGCATTTTTTAGCATTAAGCTTAAGTAAACAAACATTTCCCACTTTGTCAACTTAGATTTGCCCTTTAAAATTCAAAAGTCAAAGCTCATTATTGGTTGTTTTTTTGCTTATTCCGTCTTTGCATTATGTTCTCTTGTGAGCAGGTATGGATTGTTACGTCATTGGTTTGTGTGAGAAAATTACGTCGTTTTCTCAAAAAGTGATGACGTTACTCTCATAAACAAATGAAATAACCATCAATACCTGCTCACAAGAGCAGATAACTCTGCAATACGCAAAGACGGAGCAAAACTACAAACAGTAAAATCATATAAAGAGTAAGGAAAGAATAAAACCACGAACATCTGATTTGATACTTTCACAAAATGGATATCCTCTTGTAAATTGTGCAGTATTTCCCCTAAATCACAAAAATCATTAATTTCAGCAGAGTTATACCTTCAGAGCTTTTATGTAGACCCCTCAATAAATCCAATAATGAGCTTTGACTTTTGAATTTTAAAGGGCAGATCTAAGTTGACATACGTTTCGACTCTTCAGATTTCAGGGAATATTCTGTTAGACTGATGAAACCACTGTAGACCATAATGGACTCATCCAGGTCAATGCATGGTAGAGTCTACTAAAGTTACATAGGGTTGAAAGGGTTAAATGTCAAGTCTCAGCTGAAACAGTATATTAGTTCTTTGATTTACATTTTTGCAGTGTAACTCACAAAAAATCATCATCGGCTCATCGCTGCTAATTTCGCTTCTCTACGGTCACACAAGCGAAATCTGCCGTGGTTATCCGAGGATGACAAGCTATGTTCTTTGATATATTCAAATGTTTTTTGTCAGACATGAAACCTGAAAATCTGCTGTGTAAAATGATTTCAGATGCCAGCTCCTGTCCCCCGGGTTGGACAAACTTGTCGACGTCCAACTTCTGTTATTCTTTGATGACCCAGCCAGCCTCCGGAACATCCTACACTCTGGCTCAGCAGAACTGTGGTTATATACAGTCGAACCTTATCAAGATAGACTCCAGACAGCTGTTTAACAAGGTACAAGGTACGTACGCCACACATGATAAATAGAATCTGTCACGAGGGCTCGACAATTTAGAACCGTACCCAAGGGATGGTATTTTTGTTCTATCTTGCTTCTAAAGTAAGTGGGAAATGTTTGTTTTCCTCCCAACTTGAATAATTGAGTTGTTGGTTGCATGAAATTTCCAACAAATCCAATGAATTTCCTTCTATGATCTATTGCTGTTATTATGACGTCAAGTTGATTGTAGCTTGTCTTTACTATGATCTGCTTTCTGCCAAAGACTTGACAAAGATTTCCAAACCTTGTACCTTAACTTTAGGAGGTTCAATGAAGCTTTATCCCTGAACATTTTACACTGGACAGGAAGGGAAACAGGTCTGTACACATAAACAAAGAGGTCTCAAGTTAATACCAAATTTTGTGTTTTCAGCTTATGGTAAAAATGTGGCTGGGCTAAAGGAGGTTTGGATTGGATTGAATGATCTTAGGAAAGAGGAAACTTACCAATGGCTGGACGGATCAGGACTGACCCTCGGTGACAAGTAAGTGGCTTTATCACATAACTGACCCATTATACTTTGCCATACAGACATGTCATAAATATGGTACAGGTATTACACACTTTTAGTAAAACCTAAAGGTGCTGCGATTGGTTAAAACCGTGGGAACATATTCCTACGCCACTACAGGTACTACTTTTATTGACAATACCACTTGATACATTTACTGTTATTTTAAATGAATTTGAAAAAAAAAAAAAAAAATCATTGTTAATTTCTTTTAAAATTTGCTTTTAAAATTGTTTATTATATTAAAAAAAAATATAAAACTACTTTGCACTGTACGTGTGGAACGCTACACTATGATCCGACCACTTTGCTTTTTACCTGCCTGTATATAGAGTCAGCTTATACATGATTTTGTTTGAAGATTTTAGCTCACCCGGCCCAAAGTTTCATCAAACCATTGCCGTGCTTAAGCTCAGATTCTATACTCAAGATCAATTATGAATGATAGACTTTATTCAAATTTGATAACACATGGAGTCAAAGACTCATCTTACATGTGGTCGACATAGAAATATACAATATTTACAACATGAGTAAAAAATATAATACAAATCATATTTGTACGTATAAAATACTATAGAAAAGGAGGTAGCATATATCACAGATATGATGATAATATCACATAGATCTGTACACGAAATATTTGTGAATACCTCCCTTCATGGTTTGAAGCTGTTTAGATCGTTTCGTGGTACAAACTTTCGTGGATATCCTGTATTAACAAACAGTAGACATGTATATCATTCAAATTCGCTGTATTTTATTTTCTTGGTTCAATAGCAACCACGAAAAACCACGAATGTTTATACACAACGAACATTTCATGTTATACAGTACTTAGAATGTCAATTCCTAATTAACAGGAAAAAGAACCTTTATATAATTGGATTAAACTTTTTTCGATTTCATGCTGGAAATCAAATACTTGTAACTACATCGCATGTAACCGCTTTGCATTTCAGCTGGCATAATAATGAAAAAATGCCGTTAAATCTTTATATTTACATTCTTGACTAAATCTTTAGTATTATTGACCTAAACAAAGATATATAAATCCTTATATTTTCAATATTGAAATCTCTGTTTCGTCAGTGCAATCAATGAGATTCCTGAAACAGTCTAACGTTGCCAAAATGTTTGCTTCTAACGGTTGTATGGTGTTAACCGGGGCGGAAAGAGAAACTTCCAAATGACGCTGGTCCAATTACATTCAAAGCCCTATGAACGCAATTTCTTATGGTAAACGAGGAACTTGCAGTGGAAATATTATGATCTTACATTTTCTGTTTTAAGGTAAATTTTCTAAAACTGTAGCTTAGATATGCTTAGTGTTTGCTTTTTAATCCTGTTGTATAAAATTGACAAGTTTAATGGAAAGGTTCTTTTAGCCTTCAAATAAACGCTGATTGAGCATGCTTGTGGGCTGTTGTATGAATCAGAGTACAGAGCCCGTATTCAGGAAATCGTTCTCATACTCAAACGTGGATTCTGTACCAAAATCAGCTTTCTTGAAACTCACTTAAATTGTGTCAAAAATCAAAAAGTCAAATGTGAACATTGAAATACAGTATTCAGCTGTAAGTTTCTTCAACTTTTTTCCAAAGCATTGACAAAATCAGATATTTTTTTTATTAATTTATAACTGAAACAAAAAATTAGGCTTGAGCACAAGATCCATGTTTGAGTATGAGAATGGTTTCATGAATATGGGCCCAGCTGGTTCCATAAAAAAGCTTATGTTCTATCGTTTGTTATATTTTCAAGAATGGACACGTTTTCTGGGTCCAAAGAACAAGACTGTGTTGTCCATAATTTCGACACACAGAAATGGGTGGTGAAGAATTGTGATAGTGAGAAAAAGTCTTATATTTGTGAGAAAGTACGAGGTAAGTAGAATGTATGGTGTGCTTTGTAATAACACTAACGTAAAATGTTTCTGTAAATGTGAATAATTTAATCTTGCTTGTAACAAGCATTTTCATTGACTTAAAAAATTATGTTATCAGCCCATAACGTAAAAAATGACGTCGCTGTTTATAACGTTGCTTTTGATTGACTGATACAGCAGTGCAATAATTCCTAAAAGAATAGAGTCCATCAATAAAAGTGGATTTACACAGGGATTGTGTATAGTAGATTAAATTATAAGGATTAACTTGAATATATTTTTCACGTTTTTGTAGTAGTAGTTATACACTATTTATACAAAATAGAACTGAAAATTTAATTCCTACACTGTATATATAATCATTTTTCCTGCAATTATTTAAATGTACTAATTTTAGCGGTGGTCTTATCTTAGTGCTTTTTGCACTTTAAATATTGTGGTTAATTATGATTGTGCAAAATGAAGCTCCTGTATATCGTTTTCCATACACATTTTGTGGATTCGGTATTTTATCAATGCACTAATCTGTCAAATTTTATAATGCACTAAAATGTGTGTGCTAAATTAGTATGCTTGTAGTAAATCCAGGGATACAACATAAAATTTGATGTAAAGTACGAGTGTGAGCTTACCGGTATTATAGGGCACTGTGGAAAATATTTGTATTTCTACTGAACTGCAAAAAAAGATGGATGGGCTTATTACTGGGCCTGTTGGCACATAAATAGTGTATTCAGACAAATATACCCTTGTATGTACAAACATCTGGCTCGTAAAGTTTTTGTGTTTAGTTCAGTTGTCGACTACCTTGGTAACTATACTGTAGCTAGGGTTACAACATTTTTGTGACTTTTCCCTTTGACCTTGACCCCTGTGACCTTGCTTTAATTCCTTAGTGCAGGAGTTGGTCATCTGTGTCTGATAGACACATGTCATATCATTATAATCTCTTCTGTCGAACCCCATGAAGTCCTAATTTGTTGTCATCGCTCTAGTGACTTCATTTCTTAACAGATTTTGATAATTAAGACTTTACACAAAGGTCAATTATTAGAGTTCAAAGGTAGAGGTCAAAGTCACTGTTACTAATTATAGAAATTTGTAAAGCAATTCATCAGTCACACCACTCTGACAACTTCATTTCCATGAGGATTTTGATCAAACTTTATACCAATGTCAGACTCAAAATACCTTGAATGAGTTAATATTTCAAAATCCATTGTCAAGACCAAGGCTACTGTTACTGTTTATAGAAATTTGTTAATAATAAGTGACACTAAATTGGCACGGGAGCAGTAGGGGCTCACAGACTGTTTTGAGTTCTTATGTTTTGACAATAATGTTTTGCACTCATGAAATATTGTGCTTTTGTTTAAATCTCAGTATGTGTTACCAAGGTATTGTGAATACAATAATTTTGTATAATTATTTTGATTTTGTTTTCCAGTTGGACCAACTACAGTATATTCTGTTCCTGAAGCCAGTGATGATGACTCTGGTAAGTATGGACGATCTACACAGTCTTTCATTTACATTGTTCGCTAGCTGTGAGGAATTCTTAGGTCATGTTACATTAAGGTCAAGGTCACAGGAAGAAATATTCTTGTCCCGTTTAAACTTTTTAAGCTGAATCTTAGTAGGTAAATAAAACCATTTATTTAATCTTGGGAGTTTTCGACACTCAATTTTTACCTCTATTTTCTGATTGGGACTGTAAATTCTGATTGATTTCATTTTTTTTTTTTATTAAACGGAACAGACAGGAAAGAGGTGTGTAAGATTCTGAAGTGTGTATAATAAAACTTAAGGTCAGTGTAATGCTTAATTTTACAGGACATATTTTCTATTTTCTGACCCCATTTACATTTTTTTTTTTTTACTAAAATCATTATTGGAAAGGCGGGTATAGCATCACTAGGGTTAAGCGCCACATAACACATTCTGGTACATATATAGTAACAAGGTTACATTTGAGGTCACAGCAACAAGAGGTCAAATGTCAAATAATTAGAATGCTTACCTAGGTATTAAAACCATAACTATAATCAGCGGCTTTAGATTTTCTCATGAATTTATACACTGTCAGTCAAACTGCCATAAATCCAACTTCAAATTTTCGAATATCTTGATGTGTCGTACTTACGACAAAGTCCGGATTATTTTCTTGTATAAGTAATAATTATCGTTGTTTTGAACGACAATCAAGGCCCAATCATTAGGCAAACATTGAAAATAACACCTAATAAAATCGAAATAAAACAATGACCTGTACAAGAACATTGGAAAGTTAACTCCTGAACAAACAATTTACTGTACAAAAATACATCAAACATATATTTCAAATTACATAAAATCCCCTATTTATAGATTTCAAACTAAATGATTTGCCTCAAGTTTTTTCATTAATTACATTCCGTCTTATGCAGATTTCAAATATGATCAACTAAGTTCAACTTTGTGATTCAAAGTTTGGGTGTTTTGGGGTCATACACGAAAGGTCACTTTTAGGGTCATACACGAAAGGTCACTTTTAAGGTCATACATGAAAGGTCACTCTTAGGATCATACACGAAAAGTCACTCTGAGGGTCATACACAAAAGGTCACTCTGAGGGTCATACACAAAAGGTCACCCTGAGGGTCATATGCAAAAGGTCACTGTTAGGGTCATACACAAAAGGTCACTGTTAGGGTCAAAAATGAAAGGTCACTCTTGGGGTCATACACAAAAGGTCACTCTTAGGGTCATACACGAATGGTCAATCTTCGGGTCATACACGAAAGGTCACTGAGGGTCATACACAAAAGGTCACTCTGAGGGTCATACACAAAAGGTCACTCTGAGGGTCATACTCAAAAGGTCAATGTGAGGGTCATACACAAAAGGTCACTCTTAGGGTCATACACCAAGGTCATATTCATACAAACATCAAACGCTAAAAAGCCCAAACATGAATTTCACTACGACTTAAACATTTTATTCTGAAATTCTGACAGTTTGACTTTATTTTTATTTTTATTTTCACAGTTGCAGGTGATGTTCCCGTAGGCTTGGCAGTCGTCTTGGCCATCATTGGAGGTATACTGTTTGTGATTTTCTTCGTCATCTGTTTCTGTTGCTATCAAAAGAAGAGGAAACCAACCCGTCAAAGGGAATACATAGAAACCCGTCAAAACTCACATGTTGAGGAACAAACTGGCTACCAGCGAAATAGTGTTGGTTCGAGCATATCTCTGAACCACGTCTCTCAAACACCTACAGCGCCAGCTATAAATATAGAAGGCAGCACAACACTGGTATGGGGAAATGAATATGGCCCAGCTCCACCATCGTACGACGAAGCTATGAACCACCACCACGTCATCAAATGATTAGACAGTTCAATCGACATGGCAACATATTTTATTTGAAATCCTCAAAATGCATCAGTTATACTGTGTATAAACGATTTCGCGAAAGTCATAATCTTTTATGAAATAGAAAGGAATTTTATTGTCGGGCAGCATTATATTTTGACTTTTATCAAAAGCTTTTGCTCAGTTCTTTAAAACTTGTCAGTGATTTTATTAGAAACAAATACATATTCTTGTAAATGCAATTGAATTATATGGCCTGTTTCATGATTGTAGCAATCAAAGTATGATGAAATACATTTTTTTTACAATTTATTTGGACATTGCTCCATTTTGATATCTGTCAAACTCATTGGAATATTATAAAGCATTTACTGTCTATTATACTAATTCATTAATGAAGTTAATGGAAAGTGTTAAATTTGTTACAAAGGCATGATAGTCTAGTGGTAGGATGCTGGTCTCGTGACCCAAGGGTTGGGGGTTCGAGTCACAGCATGGCACTGTGTTGTATCTTTGAGCAAGATACTTTTCTCCACTTGTTTTCCAGTCTACTCGGCTGTAAATAAGTATGTGGTTGTGCAGCGCTAGAATTGTTGAATGCTAGCTGTGAGCACCGAAATAGCAGCACTGGCTGTATGTTGGCTGGTGGCAAAGGCCCTATAACCACAGATGATAATTTGTGAATCGCTTTGAGACTACCTACAAACTAGGTTGTGTTAAAGCAGTATATAAGAACCTCAAATTCATATTACAAAGCTCTTTTTGGGCTATTTCAGATATGAATATTCAGTGGAACCCGCTCATTATGATATATGTATTGGCGATGTCTAAAATAAATACATTTGAATATTGTGGATATTGGGGTAATTGGTGGGGGTCAGAACAACATGTTTCCCTGCCACATACCCCCTCCCCTTGCCCCCTAACCTCACCCTCCTTCTTCCTCTACTTCCCAAAAGGTCAATATCAAGTGCCTCACTTTTTGATGTGTCTCCATATATATTTGCCTTATTTTTGTGCAAAAATATTTCATACCTTTTAATGTCTAACCCTGTCACCACTGTAGACCATAATGGACTCATCCAGATCAATGCATTGTAGAGTCTACTAAAGTTGCATAGGGGTGAAAGGGCTAATATAGCATACTTTAGGCAGAGTAATTTATTTTGACATTTTTTAGGCATTTCTTGTGACTTATCTGGTAGTATCAAATGTACCTTGGTATCTAATTGCTGTACTAACTAAATAAAACTAGGTCACAACTTCAAAGGTATTTCATAAATACGAAATCCTGCATATGTGTTTATGTCATATTAGGTTTTTGAAGGAAATCTAAGATTTTTAATTTTATTGAGCCACTGGCAAAGTGTCATAAATTTCATATTTCACAAAACAAATATAAGATTCTATTTATCACTAAACCTGAATTCGTTGCTTAACTCATTCACCCGTACTTATTTAAAGTGCGCTTGCCCAGTCTATGATTTGGATACCTTATTTGTCCGGCAATAAGCCCATGCCTGGTATTAAGCCCATTCATATATATTGCCGTAAAAATGCTGACAAATGTTGTTTTATCATCCTTTGATAAGCCCAGCCCCTACTTTAAGTTGTGTACAGCCCCTGGGTTTATTGCAGGATAAATACGGTACTGGTATATCAGTATTTTGACTTGAAGCCATACGATTTTGTGACGTCGAATCTACAATGCAATTGAAAGTCTGTGATGCCATCAAGTTGTGAGATGTCGATGGTACATTGGTAGCCTTCAACCAATCAAAACTCCTTTATAATAGCTGTTAGTAAACGTTTGTTTATAGTACAGTTTATGTATTTATTTACTTTTATTTAAGTTGATTTCTAACAGTTGTGCTGTTTTCAAATTTTATATTAAGCATTATAAATGTGTTATATTTCCACATGTTAAAATGTGTTCTCAGTTTTACACTGTGATTTTGGTCATTCCCTAGTTTAACTAAATAAATTTCTTTTTTTTTTAAGTATACCTGGTGTGTACATGTTCCTTCATGTGATGAATACGATTAAGCATAATGTACAAAATAAAACAAGAGGCAGATTTTTAGAATAATTAAGCTTTAGAAAAAATCATTTTCAAATCTGTTTAAATGAAAATGTTTATTTGAAAAAAATGATGTTTTTTTTTTTTTAATTTTTTCTTTGGATTTGTTTTAATAGAATAATTCTGTTACGCAGTTAAGATTTCCTCAATTAGATATGTGTACCAGTATTCTGTTGTGTCAAGCTCCATTATTGGTACTTGAATTATACAGAAACCGTAAAATATGAATCTCGACAAATTTTGTTGCAATATTAATGAAAGTATTCTCTGCATTTTCTTGATTCAAAATGATACTCCTCAAGTAATATCACATAATCAGTAAAACGACTACAGACACTTTAAAAAAAAACTCAAATCGAAAAAGTTTATTTATAGGTTACTTAGTTATAGTGTTACACTCGGGGACTAAGAGGGGAAAATACTGCCTTACGTGGCAAGCTAGCTTTTCCAGTGATGCCGTATCACCCTAAGACACGCTCACAAGTTCAGCAACATCGAGCGAATTATTTCAAGAGGTTTGCAAGTTGTTTTATTGCCTTATTTTAGTACGAACATTCTGTATTTTATTATTAAGATCACATGAAGTCAAATAATTTTGTTCTTGAAAAAGTACTTATGAATGCTGGGAAGAATTGAGAGATATTTCACTTTCAAAATCACATGACGAAATGTGAACAAAGTATCATAATATAACATTGAGTTTTCTGCATGTTGTTTAATAATTTGTTATCTTGTCAAGGTCAGCCAGGACTGGTTTTGTTAATTCACTAAGAAAACATTTTATAAAGATCATATCTTATAACCCTCATTAAAAATATACAATTTTTTGTCTATCATTGAAGAAGGCATTTTTTTTTTTTAAACATGGCATTTGACATCATTTGTTTGACTCGACAATGACGTGATATCACGAATTGGGAAAACTCCGAAGCCACAATGAGGAAAAGGCAAAAGTGATGAAATTAAAACCTTTTACAATATATTTACCGTAAACGTTTAAAAGGTTGTCAATATTGGGTATGCTAAGTCACGCTGATAGATTTGTGTTCCTCAAAAAAAGCTCAGTTAAAAAGTTGATATGTTAAAAATGGTACCTAGTCCAAACACATCTTCATGGTTTCTGAGGTTATTCTGGTAGTTGGAATGGGAGAAAAATACTCTCCCCGGCCTATATTCTTTTGACACTGGCAAGATCCGTAAATATTCATTAATTCACAAGAAGTAGATGGTATACCCTTACATACAAATAAATATAAGATTTCCCAAGGCTGCCATTTCTTAAAAAATGTTGTAACTATAAACTTGTTCATTTTTTTGTATATATATGTATAAATGTCATAAAGAAATACACCAGGTTGTAATTTATAAATGTATGTTAATAAATGACCACTTTAAATTAATGTCCTGTTTTCAAATTTCCCTTGAGTGGTCGCTTAATACAGATTCAACTGTACTGCGCACCTTATTGCCTGTGATACTGTACTTTTTACATTTTTGTTATTAACATAAATATTTAAATATCACTGTTTAGATTAGTATATACCCTTTTTACTATTTATATTTTATATGTTTTTACAATGCAATCCAGCCACCTTCATATCAGCAAAAAAAACACTCATTCACCCCTGAACACACACTTGAACTCTTCTAATTCAGAGGTTGGAATAGTTCATTATGAAATTTCAGGGGTGAATAAGTTAACATTGAAAAATAAATCCTTCCCCTTCCTCCTCCCCATTTCAACCAACACGAATCACTAATTATAAAATTATTAGCTAGATCATGAAAGAAATCCACTTCAAGTTCATGACAAAAATGCCATAAATGTCCAAGAAATCCACAATGTGTTTAATCAAATATAACATAAAATCCAGCGTAGAAATCAAAAAGAATAGAAATTTTCATTTTTCACTCTCTATTTCCATTCAATGATTGTAAAATTTTAGAGAAGTATATATTAGCTATGATAAATCAGCAACTTTTATTCCTAGCAAACATGACTGGGTTCCTTATCAGATGAGTGAATTACTAGGGACACTTTTTATAGAAGAGGGCCACAATCTGTCCCCTAAACCTCCGGCCGGGTAATGGTGCAACTAGATTAGTGGTGGCTGGTTTTATGAAGCTGAACTGTATACTGTATGTCATTATAATCAAGAGCATTATATTCGTAAAGTTATGGTGTATATCTAATGTAAGTCCGAAACATTTGGCATCCTTCTCAATTTCGTCATGTTTCTCAAAAGCTGATACACTGCACATATTAACTCATTCACACCCCTGAAGACACATTTGAACTCCTCCAATCCAAGGTTGGAATAGTTCATTACAAAATTTCAGGAATGAATGAGTTAAAGGGCTGTTCCAGATACAGATACATTTGAGTATTAAAACTTGTAATTAGCACTTTAAGAATTTTTATAAATAGGGACAGTCAAAGTTTGATGTTTCAAATTTTGTGGGACCGTCAGTAAAAAATCCAAACATTGAGACTTCGATTCCATAATTTTAAACTTTGTTCCTGTATATACTGCATAAGACAATGGGTGTTAAGTGCAAGGAATTTATTTTGAAATCTTAAATGTTAGATTGACTGTAATAGAAAAATATGTCTCATGTATTTACACACTGTACATGTAGTTTGAAAGTATAGATGCTAAAATGACCCTGGAACATTCCAATGTTCTTGTACAGGTATGTACCAGGTAATTGTTTTACTCCGATTTATAGGCTGTACTTCTCAATGTTTTCCTAACAATTGCATCTTGATTGTTGTTTGAAACAGTTAAAATTTGATTCTTGAAAGTTCGATTCATACCGGTAATTGTTGTATCAGTAGTGTTACATGGGTGAAAAAATCAGGACTTTAACAAATTGTTGCAGAAAAAGTCAAGAAATTTGTGAATTTTCAAAGTTCGATTTAAGGAAGTTTGACAGTTGTATCAAATAATTGCACATTTGTACGCCCCTCTAACAAACTGTATCATATCAGCCATAGCCATGTCATAGCCATGTGTATCAATATTCATGCCAATTTAAGACGTAATGAAACAGAATTCCAGAGGACCACATACATTTAAACTCAAGGGACAGATTTTTTTATATTTTTATTTAGTGTTTCATATTTGTAGAAAGAAAAGAAATGTATTTCGATAATTTATGAATAAACGACTGATGTATGAAATGCACTGAATGGATCATTTCAGTTTTGACTTTAATGAATACAAACATAGTTTAATTTTGTTTTTTAATGTTTAAGCTAATTACCACCCCAGTTCTATATACCTCCACCATATATTTCTGAAAGTAAATATTTTTTTAAATAACTATTGTGCGTCTCCCTGCTAATATTTATGTATTAAAAATGTTGTTATTTATAATGTGCGTATGTAAGAAATGCATTTTTTATTGGAACTACTTTTTAATTTTTGTTATTGAAATGGTGAATTATGATTTGCAGTTACTAC